CAGTGCTGGCATTTTACCCTGTATTTATTCAAAGCTGTGCTTCCATTCACTTCAGATTTAGTTGGCAATGCTCAGCAATCCTGTGCAACCAATCCAGGTTTTATGTCGGGCACAGAACAAAACACAGCAGTGACCAAGTGAAGAAGTGAAACAGTGAAGTAGTTTGCATTGACAGCAAAGTTGTTTTAGCTGTTCCCTAGGATCTCATCTCGTTCTTCTGATCAAAATACAGTGTGTAATGTCTAGTAAGAACCTAGTAAGCAAAAGTGCTGAGACTTCTGTGACCCTAAGTGGAGTTTTGGTGTTCTGGGAACACTTCTGTTTCAGTAAGTGGAAGCCATCTTACTGCTCAGCAGAGTTGTGATGCATTGTGCCACGTACTGGTGCAGAAAGCTTAAAAATCTAGGGCAGCATGAAAATGTAGAACACTGAAATGAATAACTGAAACTGAAATACTGTCCAGAATATAGGAAGCTTGGAAGCTTAATAGGAAGTCAGTTAACAGATGAACTGAAATATGTAGACACAGGGCAGTGTATCTTTGGAAGGGTCCAGGTACCTGAGGTGTGTTACATGGTTAAACATTTTGAGTATGGATGATAGCCAGGCTCAGGTGACGTGTTAGATCGCTGACATGCGTTCTCAGGGTAAAACTTTTCACCTTTTAACTATACTTCAGTAATTAATGGTTAAGTGTCTCTGCTGCCATAATCCTCTATAGAGACAGAAGAAAATTATGCAGCTTCAGTTTCTGGAATAAGATATATGTTTTCCATCTGTCTGCCATGGGATATGTCAGTAATTTCCTTTTTCAGTTCACTAGTTCCAATTACTTTGGCCTACCTGTTCAGGCTGAAAGACTTGGTGAGGAAATCAGCCTGTATTGAGATCCACTTAGCACCTGTAATGGCTGTAGCTATAGACCTGGTCTTGGCATTGTCATCCATAATATTTTTTTCCTCATTCTTTATCTTTCTCTCTCACCAGTAAAGACATGGTTTGTGTATCTATTGGGAGGGAACTGAAGTAGTGCTGGGTATGCCCTGCCCTTATGTGCCCATGCTGTGAGTCTGAAGTGGGCAGAACAAAACCTACTACATTACAGGGTACAACAAATGCGAAAAAGTTCTTTTTATTTCAGATGTTACACATACTTGTCAATTACATACTTCAGGTACTATTAAGTAATTTTTGGTTCATAATTAAGATAACTTTCAGAATGTCTTTTCCCCTTCTGGAACTTGCTGATGCACTGATTAAAACTCAGCCACCTTCTGGAATAAGCAACACAGGCATCTGTCCTGGAGATAAACAGACCTCTTCAAAGCAATGTTTTGATTCCTTCTTGGAGTTGGTTCATTATGTGTATTGGATGGAGACTGGAGACCTCTGAAAAATTGTTATGATTGAGTAATTAAAGGCTAGCATAATACATATGCACAAAAGTGTAAAGTTCAGGTAAAATGCGTATTGTTGTACTTTCTCATTTTATTTTAGTGTCTTGACTCTGCAGGTATTTTTGGCAGTTAATCTCTGGGTTTAGTTTTTTTAATTAACAGATTATAGACGCTGTATTTTGTGACATTTTTAATCAGACGTACAAATAAGATATTTAGAGGTAGAAGGTTGAGACCCAACTCCAGCTGAAGATCCATTTCACTTTGTGATCCTTTAAAAATCTGATCCTGCATATGCACTTGTAATTTTTCACTATGCGTAACATGCACACTTTGAGGAAGTCTGTGTCATGGTTGAATGTATAGATAACAGCCAAGGGCCAGAATTTAAAGTTTTGGGACCCATTTCTTCTCTAAGAGCTGGTGTTTCTGAACTACTTCTTTCTTTCAAGATTGGAGTATTGTAAGAACCAAAATATGCTGCCGTATCCACCAGTAGCTAACAAGTAGCTGTCTGTACACAGCAAAAGTACAATCCAACACGGGCAGGCTGGACTTAACCTTTTGGTGACTTAATGATTACTGTGTACCCAAAGGCAGTGCCTTGTAGCTGGAGATTTCTCTTTTATCCATATCTTAGTTTATCAAAGTAGGCCTTAGGAACTTTGTATTCTCTAGGAAGATATCCCAGCAGATTTTTCAGACTTGCTGATTTTTCAAACTTCTTTTCAAGTTATTTACTATGCTTTGTCATTGTGTATTTTACATATATTTTGATTTTCATTCACAGTCCTAGTCCCAGAACTTCCGTGAGAAGTTCTCATGCGTTCCTAAGGGCCTTTGTGAATTCTTTTTGTTGTTCAGATTGTTTGGCAGAAGCTTTGCGGCCTGTGGAAACAATGCAAAAGGCAAATCCGGGAGATGGAACAGTATCAGTTCACAAAACCAGGAGAACCTGTTCATGCTGAGAAATGAGGAAACATAATCGTGTGTGTGTGTCTGTTTGTACAGAAGCACCAATTTTCTTGGGAGAAATTGGTGAATTTAGGAAACAATCTTCAAATCTACTGAGTACAAATGAGTTCCTACTGAAATGAGTTCCTACTAAGAAAAATGGTAGTAGGACTTTTATTTAGGAGCTAGAATGTTAGCCCTGACTTGTTTATCACCCACACGACAAAATCTGTATTCAACATGCATTAATACTTATGCACATGCCACATCATACTCATAAAATCTGTTGTGTCTAAAATTTCCTTTATCAGCTTGATCTTTCTCAAGTACTGTAATGGGAAGTGTTATAATTGCCTAGGTAAAGGGTTTTGATTAAATTGATCTTCCTTAGTTAAAATATAAAATTCATATGTTAATAAAGGACAATTAAATTCAGTTTGTAGGCTCTGTCCTCTTCTCAACTCACACCTTCCATCCTCTAAGACTGTAATCTCAGGAATTTTTAAAGCTGGAATAAATTATTACCGTGGCAAAAGCAGCAGTCCTGCCCTTTTGCTCTCCAGTGTTGGTTTTGCCAGCTCAGCTCTGCTACAGCTGTGTAGTCATCCCGATCAGGGGGCTGATCTGAATGAAAAATACTTCCCCACCCCTGCTTAGGATATAAAATATATGTTTGCTTTGATATTTTCTCTTGAAAAAGATGTCGTAGTTGGGTGTTGAAACATCTGACCTCCTTACATAATACACGAGACATGTATTTAAAAAAACAAATAGAAAAAGGCACAAAAATTCTTGCTTTGAGAGAATGATACAGATTCTGTTTACTAAATTTACTAATGTATCACAAGAGTGAATTTTTTTTACATCCAAGTTACGCTTTTTCTTTTTAATATAACCCTGCATTTATGTTTAGGAAGAGAATATGAAATAAAACAAACTCTTGTCTCCTACTATATATTACTAAGAATTGGGTTGTTTTAACAAAAATAAAGTTTTCTTTTAGGGAAAAAAAAAAAACACTTCAAAAAAAACCTGGTTTGGGGTTTTTGTTTGGTTTGTGGTTATTTTTCCCCCAGGATCTACTTCAGATTTCCTAGGCATACATTTTATTTTATATTCCAATATATTTATCCACTTGGATAGGTGAACAAGTACTCTTTTAAATACAGTATACAAATGTTGACATTTTAAGCTGCTGTAGAAGACCTGAAAATGGTCAACAATTAAACTGGAAATCAGTGAGCTCATTTGAACTACAGAGCTTGGTATAGCTTCTAACAGAAATCAAGTATCATTATTTGAACATCCTGTTTGACTGCCAAAAAATGCTCAATAGATGAAATAAATGAGTGAGCAAAACAATGCTATTCCACTTACAGAAAATACAACATTAGCATGTTGGAGAAAGGAAGTTGGATCTTCAGTTTAGAGTAGGCACTGTGGGAACATGAGATTTTTGGATGATAAGCAAGCTCAATTTATACCAGTGAACTCATTCTCCCTTTGTTTTATTTCAAGACAAGAACAAGAGGATTCAAGAGAAATAATAATTAAGACAAAACTTTTATTACCTTTTCTGTGCATATTTCTGCTTCTTCTCTGAGGATTGTAATTTTTATTCTTTCAAGCAAGAATATCTTCTAGTAACCAGCATGTGAAAAACATTGTTCTAGGAATTATGGGGGCATACTATAGTGAATGTTTCAGTTGGCACAGTGGAATGTTATACCACTCCTTATTAATGGTAGCATAATGTAATAAAGAAACACTTTTTTTTCTTAAAAAATGGTAGTGATGGAAATAAGAAAAATAATGGGTTTTTAGAAAGAGGCTGACTACAATGACCATTCTGTTATGTCGTGTTACGTACAGTACGCTAAATATGTGGACATTGGTAGATTGTTTCCTCCATGGGATTGTTCTTGAACTTTGAAACTGGTTGTTCTAGTAGACCTGCAAAAGATTGAGTCTGTTTTTTTCTTTTCTTTTTCCCTTTTCCTTATAAAACAGCAGCAGAACTACTGCAAATTAAAAATGGGAGATTCAAACGATACAACCCTTGCTTGGTTTTTGAGTGCCCTACCGTGGAAGTGTTGCATATTCTAGCTTGCCTGTTGTGTTTGGTTTTTCCCTTGCATCTCGTGTATTTTCCTTAAACCCGTGAGATTAATGTGAGACATTTAAAGAATTGCTTGGTACTTTCTGGAACAAATATGCCTTCTGGCATCTTGAGCACTGCTTCTGCTCTGAAATTAAGGTAGCACAGTGACAGAAGGCAGATGATGAAGCTGTAAACCAGAAATCTCTGAAACAATTTCACTTCTCCAATGTAAACACTGATACTGCTTTATTTCTAAGTCCTTATTTAAATGGTAATATTTAGAATTAGTTATTGTTTGTGTGCATGTTTTTAGAAATATTAAAAGCCTCTCTGCATAGCTGAGGGAAATACTGGGGAAAGCAATTGCAAAACAAAGGATATGATTTTAACAAATGTAGGCTTATATTTATCTTTTTTTTTTATTTTGAAAAGTTCTATCAAGAAGAAATTTGAATTGAATGCTGGATTTTATATAACAAGACAAGAACCTGTGTTAGAAAATGATTTTTTCAATAACACTTGTTCTTTCCTTTTTTTTTTTCTTCTAGGACCGGAATAGGCCCTATGACACTTTTAACTTGCACTCTTTGGAAAATTCCTTAATGGATATGATAAGGACTGATCATGAGCCTCTGAAAGGTAAACACTACCCTCCCAGTGGCCCACCAATGAGTTTCGCTGATATAATGTGGAGGAATCATTTTACAGGTTAGGAATATTCATATGTCCATGCTTGCTTGGTGTTTAAACAAAAATCAGCTTTGCAGTATTGCTCTAAACTTTTTGCTAATGAATGAGTTTTCAGTTATGTAAAACTTCTATTTTCCCGTCTTAAGATAATCTTCTCTACTTTAGGAAGATAAGGTGAAATGTGTATACATTTATTGTAAGTGTACAATCCTAATATCTAACTGGCATATCTGAAACATGGGTTTGTGTCTCAGCAGATTGCACAGCTGGGTCTCTTGCTGCAGTCACTTCAAAAGATGAGTAGTGCAACTGGAGTCCAATTGTTATGTTCAACATCTTGTTCAAAGTTTATACTACACTTGTACGGATTATCAGCTATTGTATAGGGTTCTAAAACAGCCGCTCTATCGGGCTTATTCTCTACAGTTGTTCAGGTATCTTTTAAACAAATTTGTCTTAATTTGGATTTCAAATTGTTGGGGGAGCCAGAAGATACTAGATGTTTTTAAGTGCTAGGAAGTTCAGACTGTTTATGCTGTTGAAGTGTCTACCAGGTATAGCATTAGAGATGAAACCATTTCTAATACTTAGCTGGTTATGAATAGTGAAAGGTGTGGCAGCATTTTATTGAATAAATATTCTTGGTCAACCTGCACATTCCTCTGTCTTAATCTTTCATTATTTACGTTTAAAAATAGGTACATGTTCTTGCTGATGTGCATTCTTGGTGACTTTGAAGACATCAGTAAGCCATATACCAGGGAAGTGTTGAACAAAGAGTGGTTCCCAAACACTAAGAAATCAGGACACACAGAAAAAGTTCGGTTGTGTAGCACTTCCTATGCTAATGCTTATAGACATGCTTTTTGATGTCACAATTGCCTCATTTACTCCCCTCCCATATATGTATTACACATGGGAAATATTTTTCCTAGGTCTGAGGTCGTGTGCCTGTTTTGCTGTTTTTCTGGGTACAGAGGTTTTGTAATTGGCTTCTGTACTCTCTTCTATGCTTTCCACTGTTGTCTTGAAATTTCCTGTGCTATAGCCTTCAAGTGTCTTTAATCATTATTCATCTGTCTAAAATAGTAAGTACTTTCTCATGTCTATTCTGATCATAGACCTCCAAAATAAGGGTTAAACTGGAACTTAAAAAACCAAGCTCGACAAAATTGAGATTTTTGCTGGATATACGTTACACATAGCTGGCATTAAAGTATAAAATAAAATCCAAATTGCTAGTAAATAGAGTTAAGTATTTATTGTATCTTATTACAATAAATATGATAATCTAGCTAAAAACTCCAATTTTTTTTAGTCAGTATATATATAAATATACAAATAGAGACTTATTTTTTAAAGACTGAATTTCCGTGTGAATCTGTGTGGAAAAAATGAGAAAGAAAGTTTTATTGGATTGGATATTAGTTGTTGAATTTAGATATTAATCATAAAGTTTAAGTTGAACTTCTCCATTTGCCAGTGGGACCAGTAGATTTACATTTTCACTTAACAAATGCTTCTGTCACATACTGGATGTGCTCTTTCTGACTATTTAATTTTCTCATTCACTGCTGCTCACCTGCTTTGGCCTTCCTGCCGTGCTAATTAGCTCACTTCCAGTCCAGTAGCTGTTGGAGATGTTAGTTATCTCTCTGTGTCTCTGCACAGCTGCTTTTGTGTTTGCTTCTTTGCTTTCCCAATGATGTAGTTAATTCCCTGTCTTGTTTTCCTCCTCCAGGAAGGGCTTACTTTGGTAATCTCCAGCCTTGGCCTGACCCAGTGTGCACTTTCCTTTCTACTCCTGCTTTCACACTGTGCAGCATGACTGGCAATATTCATACGAGTGGCTGTTTTATTCTCCCTTGCAAGAAGTGTCTCCTTCCTCTGCGTTAAACAAATATATGTTACTGTTTTAGCTGAATCCTTTTCATAAAAACCATTTTTCTGCAAACATTGATCCATTCCTTAAGTCACTTTCTTGTTGCATTTTTGCTGTTGCTTTTTCTGTGAAAATTGGTCTTGACTCTTCTCCTGTACATCCAACTTCTTGCTTTTTCTTGACTAAAGATGCAGAAGGTTTTGAGCTGCCATCCTTCTCTGTACCTTCCTTGCATTTCGCTTAATGTTGTCTCCTAAAGTCACTTGATTTTTTCTTATTTATCCCACTCTTCTCTGGCTCTCCCCCTTAATGTAGCAGGACATTTTAGTCTGTTATGACCTTGAGAAAGTGATGTTGGGGCTTTTTGAATATACTGGTTATGTGCTTCAGCTTGATTTTTTCAGTTCCTCATAGACATTCCTGTGTGAATGCCTCTTGGGCAAAATTTCAGCCGCTCTTTCTGGTGTATTATTGACTTAACCAAATCTCAGACCTAGTTCCTCTTCATTTTACCACCTCTGTCTTTCATAGGAAACAGGGTGTTTTTTCCCTTTAAATCTTTCCTTCCTCTTGCATCTGTAAGTTTCTTCTCTTAGATTCTGCAGATATTTCTTCTCTAGGTAGAAAATGAAACAACCACAAAATTCTTGATTTAAATAAATAAAAAAAAATGAGATGGCTTTCAAATGACTTTTTTTAGTTGTTCACCTTTTGGTAAATAAGCCTTATTTTTTCAAAGAATTGTAGCAAGCAGCACTTTCAGGTCAATTTGCCATACATTTACTATCCAAATTTTTTAATGGCAGGGGTGAAAAAATGAATACCAAAATCCTCTGATCTTGAAAATACGGAAAGATTTGATTCTAGAAAAACTGTAAATGTCTCAGGGCCTCCAATGCATGTTACAAAGCCAGTGGAGCTATTTCAGGATCATTTCAAGCTGCTGCTGCCAACAGTCTTCATCAAATACTTATTTTTAGAAACACTGTCTGTATATGTATTCATTAGCAAAATACTGCATTTGGTTTATCTGAAGTTTGAAACTTTGCCTGGAACGTAGCCCCTCTTGGCTGATGTGTGCACCCTCACATCCCAGCAGATACTTGAAACAAAATAATAGTTCTCTTGGATATAGAACAAGAGTTCTAGATTAGAATGTGAGTGGGGAGGATTAGCCATAAAAGATTCTGATGTGAAGACCAAATTAAAATGGTCCTGGGATATTTTTCGTCTCATTTTGGGGTCTGTGTTCCTCCGCAGTGTTCAGAGGAGGTAGGGGAGAAGCTTGGGATGAGAAAGGAAGAGTCTGTCCTCTTGTTTATTGTAGTTGAAGCTTCATATCCTGCTCTGAATCTGAGGTATGGTCGGACATTGTCCTGCAGGCCATGGAAATAGAGTTTATTTCAAGATCACCAAGGCAGGTCACTTTTTTTAAAACATGATCCACTTGGCCTTGAGAGGGCATGTGATTAAGTGACTTTTCTGGGAGGGTGTTGCTTTCAAGTGTGGAACAGAAAGTCTGACAGATTCTTAGTGCAGCAGTAACTAAGTGATCCTCACTCTTGCAATCTTGAATTACTTACACTGAGCGAGTGCTAACCCAGTCTGATGGGCAGGCTGGCTTGGTGCTCTCCAGCTGGGAGAGCCAGGGTCACTCAGTTCTTTTTTTTGTGTTTCTTGCCAGATTTGATATCTGGCTCTGAGGTTTCTGGATTTTAGTAACTTGCCAGCATATCCGTTGATGTTGCATTTTGTCTTGAGCCCAGTCTTGGGAGAAGGTGCTCAGTGTCAGCTCTTGTTTTATTTCTGTCTAAAACTGATTTCTTTTTCTCAGCTTTTCCTGCCAGATAGGGGAGCCCTGCTGTAGGTTCCTTTCTTTCTGTCCTCATAGTCTGGGAACAGTGTAACTTTACAAATAATTTTTCATTTTCATGCTTACAGATTTAAGGAATGTAAATTAATTGAAAAGGAAATCTCATTTTCTTTTGTCCCAAGACAGTCGGTCAGATTTCCCTCCCTGCTTTGTCTACCATCAAGACCAGCTTCAATGTTTTTCTTCTCTTTCAGTCATTACTCATAAATACTTTTCTTCTTTCAAAAAGGTGGGAAAAAGAAAGGAAAAAAGTTCAGTAAAGGCATTGTTAAGCTGCTTCTAATTAATGATGAATAACTGTACATGACCTAGGATATCTGGTTGTTCCCTGTATCTGTCATAAGAAGGCCTGTGTGACAGAAATGTTCAGTATCTCCTGAGATGTTTTTCCTTAGTGGTCCTACTTATTTTTCAGTTGCAAATAAAATATATTATCCGCTGCAGAAATACGAGGGACAGTTTTGCTTTAATGAGGAAAGAATATACTTGCAGTATTTTATAACCTTTTTTGTTTACACACTGCTTCGCCACAAGACTGTAGGACAAAACTGAATTATCAGAATAGCTAAATAGATGCTACTTATTACTGACTAGAACATTTCTTTCCTACATCAAAGTGTTTTCTGTCTATGGTGTAATATGTCACTGTTGCAATATGTTTATCCGTGTCAAACTATTGCATTACAACACAAACAGAGGCATTCTGATCTAAAAAAAATATTTTGATCAGTAGTAAGTAGCAGCTGCCTTTGTTCTATTTTTAAATAATTAAATAAAATATTTCAGCTGTGTTAGATCATATGCTGTGCACATGTGCTACTGACAGGTCATGAAACTGAATCAAAGTATAATATTGAGGAGAGAAATCACATCCCTTCAAAATATTTATTTTAAATCTATTGTTACACTAGATAACAGTAATAGTTGGGGTTTATTCTAAATCAGAGTGGAAACAAACTTTGTAATTTGTAAATCCCCAGCTAACAAAAATTCTGATTTTTTTTTTAAAGTATCAGTGTGGTACATCTTCAAGTATGGAGACAACATATGGATCAGGAAAACTCCAAGACTAGGCTTTATTAAAACTAATTTTAATCAATACCATACTGTAGAAAGATACATGAAGTATGCATTGATTATGTCATAATATTTCAGTAGAGCTTGAAATGAATACAAATGTGCAACAGTTCAGAGGCAGAAATAGCATCTGTGGGGAAACTTTTTTTATCTTGATTTTCAGTGCTTAATGACACCCATATATTT